GTTGTATGAATGTTATCAAATTCACTTTAATATATTGTTATATATTATATAACAATATATAATATACTATATATTATATATTATATATTGGAATATATATTATACATTTATATTTATATGATTAATATATATTTGTATTATATTAAATATATGGAGAAGTGTATAATGAGACCACTTACCTTTTGTACAAGGTGGTCACAATTAATTGTGACCATGGGATATGAAGTTGGGTGGTTCCATTTATTCCATTGATTAAACTCAAAGTTCAAAATAATTTTTTTCGAATTTTATGAAACACCCAAGCTATTTGATTTTACATCGGATAGTTGTAAGTATGGTGACCTCCTTGTACCAAAGGTAAATGGTCTCACTATATATAATCACATAATATATTATATAATTATATAATATATATTTTATTATATTATGTAATATATTTTAATTAGGTAATATATATTTACAATACAATATATATTACATATTATTTTATATTTATTATAAATTAATATTTAAATATAGTTTAATATATATAATATTTTACTAATATTTAAATAAATATAACTATATGTTTTTAATTATAGTATTTAAATATGGGTTATATTAGGATTAGGTTAGGGTGCTCAAACTATGGAGTAATTTATCATTAGACTCAACAAATTTGGACACTTTTATACCCTTGTTTTGTACATTGAGTTTTTTTTTTACTAAAAGTATTTTGGTCATTATGAGGGGTGTGACGTCACCCACATGGAGCACATTAGTGGCATAATGTACATAACGTATGTGATGTCACACCCATGTGGATGATATCATGCACCTCCTAATGACCAAAAATACCCTTATTAAAAAATGCTTCATATATAAAACAAGAATATAGAAGTGTAAAAAATTTGTTGAGTACTGATAAATTACTTTTGAGTACCCTAATATAGCCCTTTAAATATTACATGTATAGATTTAATATATTTATAATATGAGAAATTTTTATATTAACTGCAAGGCTCTAAACAATCAAATTAAGGCGCACCTCGAAAATTTTATAGGAAGATGTTATTTTGATGCCGAAATATCATCAAATTGATCATCTCTACCTCAAAATGTATGGACATGAGAAAAAAAAAAATAGATTTCAAGTTTTGAAAATAGTGTGTATCTTGTAATGCATTTTGGTCCTTCAATTTTCAAGATTTTCAAGTTTTGTTAGGTCTGCTTGATCTACACTATTATTTAAGCTTTAAATTTTTGTAATTAGAGATGAAAGTATATTTTACAGCTATCACAAAGATTTTCAGTATTGAAACCATATTTTTCGATACTATTTAAAGGCGCACTTTACTTTGATTGTTTAGAGCCTCGGCTCTACACTATTATTTAAGCTTTAAATTTTTATAATTAGAGAAGAAAGTACATTTTAAGGCTATCACAAATATTTTCAGTATTGAAACCATATTTTTCAATACTATTTGAAGGTGCACTTTACTTTGATTGTTTAGAACCTCGGCTTTATAAAAATCGCACCCTTACAATATATATTTAGTACCAATTTAGTTACCAAATATATGCAATTTATTACACACGAAAGGTTTCTATGCTTCCCTTACAACATAAAAGTTCTATCCTCCCCCTACCATCCAGCCGTCCAATTTTGATCAAGATAGCCACTCACCGTTTGATCTTAGATCCGACATCTCAAATTATTTTATTTTTAATTTTGTTTACACAAAATTTTTTAATATGAAATTTGGTATGTACCATATTCTCATTGGGCGCACTTATAAAAAAATATTAAAAATAAATTTTCGATAAAATATAATGACCAAAATACCTCTTGAAACTTTCAGGGGTATTTTGATCAATTTATTTTATTGAAAATATTTTTTTATATTTTCCGCTAGTGCGAGTTTAATAGAGGAATGGACGTCCAAAATTTGGTGTCAAAATAGTTTATAGAAAACAATAAAAAATAAATAGTGTAGAGACGTGACATTGGCAATCTTAGCCCACCATTTAGAATGGACGGTTGAATAAAGAGGAAGATAAAACTTCTATGATGTAGAGGAAGCCTAGAAAACTTACCCTTATTATATTAAACTATATTTATAAACATAGTAAAAAGAAAGTATACAAAAGTCTTTCCAAAGTATTTCCATAAATAAATATTTTTCTCGTATCAAGCATCAACCGAAGCGCCCTTAAAGACTCCCCAAGCTGAAGTATTTTCTACACAAAATTTAAAGACGAGGTTAACCTCATGCAACGGAAATCTCCATGATGGATCTAAATCAATTTCTAATTCCAAAACTAAAATTTGAAACTAAACAATGTAGCAAACCATTGGATATATGAACGCTTATTTTTAGGGTGAATAGATATTTTAGATAATTCATTACAATATACAAAAATTTTAAAGTTTATTTTTTTATTTTTATTTTTATTTTTAAATTTTTTTTACAACAACTAATATATTCAAACCGAGGTGAGTTATGATTCCGAATACTGAGTTATATGTTACTGGGCAAATGGGCAGGGACGCTGACTTGCCTGAATGTAAACAAATCTATTTGTATTTATAGAGAGAGAAAACCCTAAACTCCTGTCCTAGTAAGTGCAATTCAGAATAATATCTCAGCAGTGCCTTGGTTCACCAGGTAGAGAAATGTCAGTGTTCTTGAACTTCTGTGATGATGACACAGGAAAGAGCTTCACCGCCCATCTCAACAAAGCTCTCCTTGATTTGGGTATCGCCACCTTCTTCTTCTCACCAACACAAGAACAACCCAGCGGTATACACAGAGGAATCGACGACTGTGAGGTCTTTATAGCCGTCTTTTCTCCAAATTATGCTTCCTCTTTCATCTGCCTTGATCAGCTTTCTTATTTATTGAGTTTGCCGGAGAGGAGGCTTATCCTTCCTGTGTTTTATTACGTCGAGCCTGCGCATGTCCGCTGGCAAAAGGGGCCTTTCCATGGAGCTTTTGAGGATCACAAAAATAAGAATGGCTTTGATGAGGAGAAATTGCATAAGTGGAGGAATGGTTTGAATGAAGTTACCGAACTTTCTGGTTGGGACATGAAGAATTACAGGTATAACCAATTATCTTGGATTTTTTTTTTTTCAAAGAATAAACTTATCTCTCTCTCTCGATGAGGAACTCCATAGAAATTAAGTGCAAAGCGTAGAACCACTGGTATTGTCATTGTCATGTCCTGTGATGAAGTTACCATTTACTTGGTTTTAAATATCCCATGGGTAAGAATGATAGGAGCAATGTTGTAAAAATCTATGATCCTAGATCAGAATCATCCAAATGGGATCGGGCATGGTACAAGTCCAGTTCGAGACAAAACCTGGAATCAGACTAAGTCCCATAGAATCGGCTGGTTTTGTCAACGAACCGAGGGATCCAGATGCTAAGTTCCCATGCTTTATAATGTACTGTTATTATTCCTTCTTCTTCTATTTTTGAGTGATCCACACTGCTGAGATCACCAATCTGGATTGGCGATTTGCATATGCAGGCCTGTTTCCCGGATGGCCGATTCAACCAATCGGTCTGGGTCTTAAAAAACTGGAGCCACCAGAAAAGAGTGTCGCCTTAAAAGGTACTCATGTGTACATGTTGGATGACTTGATAGCTCGAATAAAAACCGGTAACCAGAGGCACACAATTTAAGCGACAATATTTTTGTTGCCTATAATAAAGCAAGTACGAGGTGGGGTTAGTCGCTCCCGGGTCCGGCAAAACCCTCTCAAGCCGGCCGAAGAACCTAGCTTCCCTGAGCAACCAGAATGTATTCAAGTCGTCCCTAACCTTCACCTATTATGAAGCTAGGAACCAAAAGTGGAAAGTTCTAAAGTTTGGGGTGTTTGGAAGTTTATGGATTAGGCCTAGGAGTAAGAAGTCATTGGGGTATGTTGTTTTTAATTTGTTCATCTTATTATCTCTATAGATCTACGAAATGGAACCCGATGACTTTTACTTCTTTTTTTTCTGGGTAATTTAGTGGGGAAGCGGCCCCGATTTTTTCAAGTAGTTTAGGAGTTAGTTTTGAAATTGTTAAGTGGGAATGGAAACCACTAGGGTGTGGGGGTGCCACCACCATGACCCAGCCCCTTTCCCAACCTGATATGACTTCATGAGTGTGAAATACTACTTTGTGCTTAATCGTATTCATCTTCTTAGCCTAGCCATTGTGCTTGGAACCATCGTCATCAATCTATGTGCTTGGAACCATCGTCATCAATCTATGTTTGATCACTTATATTTTACTCATTTACTTATTGAAAAGTATTGTACAAGTTCTTTTTATTGCCTAATGAAAAAGGATATTCTACAGGACTGAAGCAAATTTGGTTGACGAACTTGTTAAGCACGTTTCAGACAAGTTGAAGTACATAACACAATTGCATGTTGCTAATTATCCTATTGGGCTTGATTCTCGAGTTGCTGATGTGATGAGACTCTTAGATCTTCATGCTGATGATGTTCGAATGATTGCTATCCATGGCATGGGTGGCATTGGTAAAACCACTGTTGCAAAGGCAGTTTTCAACATAATTCATTCTAGTTTCGATGCCAGTTGTTTCCTATCAGATGTTAGGGAAGCGTCACGAACATATGGCGGACTTGTTGCCTTGCAAAAACAACTTCTGAAGGAACTATTTAATGAAGATGGTCTAAATATATATGATGATGAGAGAGGCATCAAAATTATAAAAAATAGGATTGGGTCTAAGAAAGTCCTTGTTATATTAGATGATGTTGGTCACCACAAGCAACTCGAAAAATTGGCTGGTGAACGTGATTGGTATTGTAAGGGAAGTCGGATCATCATCACCACCAGAGATGAGCATGTGTTGAATGTGCGTAACAGAGTGGTTAACCATCATATCTACAAGCTTGAGGGATTGGATGATACACAATCTCTTGAACTCTTCAGTTGGTGTGCTTTTGGGGAGGTCCAACCCGTGCAAGAATATGTGAAGCTCTCGAAGGAGGTAGTATCTATGGCTGGTGGGCTTCCCTTGGCTCTTGAAGTTTTGGGAAATTACTTATGCGACCTGACAAGCATTGAAGAGTGGAAAGATGCTGTAGCAAAGTTGAAAAGAATTCCTGAAGATGATGTCATGCTAAAGCTTAAAATAAGTTATGATGATTTGAATGAAAAAGAACAGCAAATATTTCTCGATATTGTGTGCTTCTTCATTGGAGAGAACAAAGATTATGCGATTGATATATGGAAATGTTGTGGCTTCCCCGCTTTAATTTCCATAAGAAGGCTCTTGCAAAGGTCCCTTATAAAGATTGTTGATGGGCATGAATTGTGGATGCATGACCAAATTCGTGATATGGGCAGATGGATTGTTGAACTAGAAAACCTGGATGATCCTGGAAGCCGTAGTAGGTTGTGGGATCCCGATGAGGTCTTTGATGTGTTGAAGAATCACAAGGTGAGGATTTCCTAAACAAGCTCATTTTTCTCTTCTTGGGAAGAACTTTTATGATTGGTGTCTATTTGACTTTGTTTTATGAAGATGATATAGTTAAATACATTGATATTTTAGTTAGCATCTCGCAACTTGGCTGACATTTTTTTTTACTATCACTTAGGGAACTAGTAAGGTTCGAGGTTTCATGCACGATGGATATGAATGGGAGCAGAGTTGGGAAACTGAAGCATTTAAACCAATGACCAATCTTAAGCTACTCAGCATCAATCAAGCATCTCTTATTGGAAACTTCAAATATCTTTCATCAGAATTAGTATGGCTACAATGGCAGGGATGTCGTTTACAGCACCTCTCAGATGATTTTAGCCATGAAAAGCTTGCTGTCCTTGACTTGTCATACAGTGATGCTATCGTTGACTTGTTAAACAACAATATAAAGGAGGTTTGGCACTTTTAACATTTATTAAACATTTATCTCATGTCATTCTTTTTTCTTTTCTTTTATTTTCTTTTCTTTTCCTTTTTGCTTGCATATTTGAAACCTATCATGGCTGTTATCCCCCTTACCAACCAAGTCTTTTGGACAGCTCTTCCCGAAGTTGAAGGTTCTTGATCTCAGTTGTTGCTATAACTTAGAGAGAATTCCCAACTGTTCTCTATACCCAAACTTGGAGAAGTTGATTCTTGAAGATTGCTTGAAATTGGTTGATATTCCTGACTCCATAGGCCTTCTAGGGAAATTAGTTTATCTGAATCTTAGAGGATGTTCGAGCCTCAAGGAACTGCCAGATTCAATTGGCTCACTAGTGAACCTTGAGGAGCTGGATGTTGGTGGCTGCAAGGAACTCAGTAGACTCCCAGCATCAATGGGAAGGATGAGGTCATTGCGTTATGTAGACTTGTGGCAAACTGCTATAGCCATGTTGCCTGATGAATTTGGACTTCTTCCCAACTTGGAGAAGTTGAATATGCGAGGGTGTGGACAGTTAAAAGAGCTCCCAGAAAGCATTGGACGTCTTACAAGTTTAAAGACTCTCGATATAGGCTACAACTCCAGTTTAACAAGGCTTCCAACTTCTTTGTCAGCCCTTTGCTCATTGGAGAAATTGGATGCATCCAATTGTAACCTGCAGGGGATGATTCCTGAAGATTTTGAAAGGCTATCCTCATTGAAAACCCTTCATCTCAGTGGGATCAATTTCCAAGGCCTGCCCAGTAGCATGATGGGCTTTTCTCAACTAGAAGCACTGTCTGTACATAATTTTGAGCAGCTGGTAGCTATCCCTGAGCTCCCCAGCAATTTGAAACATCTGGATGCATTCCAATGCCAAAGTTTGCAAACCATGCCCAAGCTATCTCACCTTTCTAAGCTAGTAAGCTTAAGTGTTGTAGAATGTGGTGGGCTCGTAGCCATCCAGGATGTCCCCTCCACTTTAGAAATTTTGAATTCTTCCAACTGCATATCGTTGCAAATTATACCCAACCTCTCTCAACTTTCTCAACTTCAAGTATTGGATCTCACAAACTGCAATAAACTGGTTGAGATACAGGGTCTCAGTTGCTTAAAATCTTTGAGAATATTGCACTTGAATGGGTGCAACCCTCACGCTTTGAGGGGTCAAACGCTAGCAAAGGTATGCTACATCACAAGAAAACTCCCAATGTTTAGCTACTGAGTTACCTTTATTTCTTTGTCTAATAATTTCTTTTTTTATTTTTTTGATATGATATATCCGTGTAGGAAACATTTAGAAGTCTAGAGAAATTAAGTATTCCAGGAAGCAAGGTTCCAGATTGGTTCTTGTGTCACAATCTGTCATGCACACTGCCGAGACTTTCAGATGTGAACCTCCATATTAAAGAAGTGCTGCTTTGCTTTGTTTGTTCTCCGGACGACACTGCTCCTAACAATCCCTATCTTAAGTTATTAATCAAAAGGGAATGTGAGGTACAACAAACTCTTTCATTTGGATTAAATCCATTGCTCCACCAAAATCAAATGTATTTTTATCGTTTTCGAGATGGTGATTTGTCTGAGGAGAACTCGTGGAAAGATGGGGATCAAATTGAACTTGTATGTAGTTCCATAGTATGCCTGAAGGGAGGGATCCATCTGGTATACAAACCAGAAGACACGGAGGATTCCATGCAAGAAAGATTGGCTGACTTCTTCAATACATTGCTTACTGAATGACAATTTACAGCCTCATAAGGTACCAACGATTTCAGTTTTGGATTGCTAAATAATGCTTACTTTTAATAAAAATATATTCAGAAAGGATTTACAAATGTGAGCTGCCTTTTTATTCAATGATAATTTACTCAATGACTTCAAATGAAAACAGCAGGTCTTTGCCTCATTTCGTTCTTCTTTGATTCTCGATTACCTCCTATGAACAAATACTTTACTTCAAATGGACAAAGCATGCCTTTGCCTCATTTGTTTCCTTCTTTGATTCCCGATTGCCTCCTCTGAATCAAAAACTTGCTAAAAAAAGCTATATTATATTGAATCTTGAGCGTTGAACTAAAAAGTGCCAACATTTATAGTATTGTATAACTCTTGCTGGACTCTCTCTCTCTCTCTCTCTCTCATGTGTCTGCGGCCATGCCAGGTGTACAGGTCTCTGTGGCATGACATATTGCACACAGAATTTTATATATATGTGATTTCTTTAAGCATGCTGCTGTTCTCTTGGGTATGCAAAACATGATGAATTTGCCACATGTGCAGGAGGCTGTGAGCTGTCAATTTTCATTATGTTTTTTGTTATTTCCTTGTTGGGATGGAGTAATGTGATTGAGATATTCAAGATCAATTTTGGTGAGAGCAAATCTGAGCTTGAAAGGAGCATCTTCTTCTATTACATGTCTTTTATATTAGATCAGAAATCAACATCTTGCCATGTTGCAGAATGAAGTCTTTAGCAGCTATAAAAACCATCCATGGCCATCTGATAAACCAGGATTCTTTTGAAACCTGCTCTTATAACCATCTTCTCCTCCATTTAAAATCTTTTTGAAACAATGAACACAAGTGCCTCTTCCTGTCATTTGATGCCACAATTTTTTTTATTTTTTTATTTTTTTGAAATATGTGGTTGCTGCTACATTGTAGTAACACCCCTCTTAAAAGCTTTTTGGATAAAAAAAGACCAGCTTAAGAGGGATAAACTCAAACTCAAAAGCACACTTTCATTGTGTTAGTTTGTTCCTATTTATAGATATCTCAACAATATTTAATGCTTGTGTAAAGGATATTTATAGATATTTAACAAACCAAAAGTTGAGACTTGAAGATGGAACTCATATGGTTGATGCAAAATATCTTATAGGTCTAGTTGTACTGATGTACTTTACCTCACAAAAGACCTTACCTGTTTGTTGTAAGTCTTTTGTCAAGGTTTATGCACTATCCAACTCAGTATCATATGGGGGCGGCTATAGGGGTGAGAATTGACCCGATCCGAATCTGAAACTGGATTTCAGACATTCGAATCCAGGTTTGGACCTAAAATTTGGATTTGGATCCAAAAATTAAATCCGAATGAAAATCTGGATCGGATCCGAGTGCAGACCTGGATCCATATCTGAATTCAACTCGATTTTTTAAGTAGTAAATTTATATATATATATATATATATATTTTTTAAAAAATAGTATATAATTCGGATATGGATTTCGATCCGGATCCAATGGATACTATTCGGATCCTAATCTGAATCCAAATATTCAGGATCCAGATACGGATCTGGCCCCGATCTGACCTGTTCTCACCCCTAGGCGGCTAAAAGAATACTGCATTATATATGTTGAATATCAAGCTATGGACTTTGGTATACTGATGTTTATAATTTTGAGTTAATTGGCTATATTGATAGTGCCAAATAGTTGTTTGATGAGATTCATTAACCAAATTTTGTCTCAATTTCTACTGTCATTTCCACTTTTTCTCATTCAAACCAACCTCAGAACTGCTTAATTCTACTAACATGGCTGCAAATTCATGGCTGCTCACCATATGAATTTGGCTTCTTGACCATTTTGAAGCTTGTTGAAGCCTCAAAGCTATAAATCAAGGCAAGCAAATTTACACAGTTGATTCTTATCTGCTTCTAGTTCAGATCCATTTGTCCAAACAACCATGGTTGATTATACTCCAAAATTGGGGAATTAGAGAGCATAAATTGGGTTTTTTCTGAATTTTCCTGATGTGATATTCTTCTATACAATGCCACGATTGTAGGGTTGGTGAACTTGGGTCATGGAGTTGATGCTCTTCTACTCTTTGTAGAGGCTTTAAGGATTGGGCTATAAGGCTCAAAGGGCTTTGATGAGCTAAGAGAACCAGGGAAACTGGTTCAGGGTTTTCTGATTTTAAAATTGGGTTGGATTCTAATGGATTTTTGGGGGTTTGATTTATGTTATATTTGGCAACATATCCAGTGTGAGAAAGTCCTCGATCGGGGTTTCAACTTCAGTCCTTGACATGGCCATGTGCAATGTGCTGATTGTTGGGTATTCTCAGAATGGCTTCTTTGAATCTGTCCTAGAGTTCTGTAGAGAGAGGACAGCAGTCGGTTTTGCTCCAAATGGAACGACTTTTTGGGGTTGTTATTAGAGCTTGGAGTGGCTTGAAACTGTTGGACTTTGGAAGGTCACATCGTGGGTTGATTGTGAAACTAAAATTGAACTCAAATGTAATTGCCTGCACTTCTCTTTTTGTATGTAAAATACGTGATTGTTGAAGAAAGTCTTTTTAACTAAATGATTCAGAATAATGCTTTTTCGTATAAATTAGTGATGGGTCTGTTAATTAAGAGAGGGAACTCTAGAGAGGCTAATGCATTCTCAAAATATGTATACAACAGCCTTAAACTCAATCAGGGAAACTTTATGGCGCTCTTGAAATGCTTGTAGTTCTTTGGGGTTCACAGAAAACATGAAACTAGTCCAAGTGATCAAACATGGGTTTGACTTGGATCTAATGGTAAAAATGCTCTTATTGATGCCATGGTCAAAGGGGGAGGCAAAACAGATGCACAAATAGTTTTCGGGGCGATGCAAAAAAGGAGCATTGTATCATGGACAACGGTGATAGTGGGCTTCTCTCACTTGGGTTTCAATAAAAAGGCATTGGAGTTTTGAGAGATGCGAATGGTCAACATGAAAATGAACCATTTCGTGATGTCAAGCATTTTTGAGGGCATGTGCAGGCTTAGCTTCCCTTAGGCAAGGGAGATGTATCCATGGATATGACATAAAGAATGGGATCATGCATGGTGTTAGATAGCTTTCTTCTGGACATGCATGCTAGATCTGGGGCTTTGGAGTATAGTTGCAGTGTAGTGAGTGTTTTAAAACCTGGCCAAGTCCACTTGGACTTGGCCGAGTAACTCGACCTCGACACCTGCTCAGGCAAGGTTTTGGGTCCAACTCGAGCATTAAAATATCAGAAATTTGGTTTAAAAAACACTAACTAATGCTTTGGAAAAAAATTGCTATAAAATTTTATTTTTTTGGTGATGAGGCCAAGAGGTGATTTTACTTTTTAATATCTAAAAACATTGTTCTAATTAATATATTGCTATTTTTGGCATGTTTGATGATTTTTTAATAATTTTACATATTTTTTATTTTTTTATTTACTTCGTGAATTTATGACCCGAACTTGCCTTGGCCATAGGGTGAGGCCGAGTTGCTTGGCTGAGTCCGAGTGGACTCAGTTGTGTCCTTGAATACTTGTCCTAACTTCTAACCATTGTTTAAAAAATTTCAATCTGATTTCCAACTTGCCTTAGTCAGCTGGCTTGGAATAGGATCCTGGCGAGTGTAGTGGCGAAACTTGGCCTGAGTTTCACCCTTCACCTTACTGTTTATGTTAGGAATCATCAGTCTGAATCAGGGAATGCCTTCTGATTCATGTTTGGGACCCTTGTGAGTTCCAGCCCGAGTTGTGGTTTTAAACATGGTTCTAACCTAGAGGGATGCCATTATCAACAGTTATGTGAGTCAAGAGTTGGTTGGCTTGGCTATTCGGAAAATTGTGTTGTAAGTAAATTCGAATATAATGACCAATAAACAGTAAAGGAAAAAAAAGGATATTTCATGGCGATGGGAAAAAAAATGCATAAAATGAAAACAGTCAAGTAAAAAATATTTCATCTTAACATTTTATATATTGACAATGCCTATTGCAAATTGAGGTTCACGAACTGTTAGAACCTTTTGATTGTCGTTGTGCTACTGTTGATATTTATGGATCTAGGTTCAAGCTCTGTTGATCCATCTACCATCGTTTTAGAGCGGTTGGGTTCCTTTTTCATTGTCGCACTTGTAATTTCTTGGTTTATGTAGCTTTCTAGTCTTCAGTTATACTGCATTCAAGACTATAAAGACAACATTACAAAGTGTCATGGCATTTGTATTTTTGGGTTATGTAGCTTTCTATTCTTCAGATGGTAAACTGCATTCAAGGCAAGCAAAGCTTATTTTTCCTCAGGCTCAACAAGAGTATAATGACAACATTAGCAAGTGTGGCATTTCAATTTTTCTTTGGACAAGACCTGTACATCCCTGTGGGATTGCCTTTGTTTTGAAATGACCTTAATCAGTTTGAGACAAGTTGATTCTGCTTATAATATGAAATGTAACTATTGGCAATATTTAAAAGCAACTTTGAATATTTTCTGGATTATCAGGCATTCAAAGTGGTTGCCATTGATTCAGCTCTATATCTCCTCACTCATGTAGTCAAAAAAAATTGGACCTTATGAGCGGGAGGTAAAGGTACGAATACCTGCCATGTTTCCCTATGCGGTTAAATTTTTCCAAAAGCATTACTCATTTTCAAGTTCTACTTCTTGTAGGTCACAAAGGTTGTTCCAGCAATGGCAGAAATGTTTAAAGATACGCGGATGAAAAATGCTCGGATTGAAGCATATGGGCAGATATTAAAATGAAAAGTTTTGACAAAGTTTTACATGGCTGCCTACCTAACACAACCCACCTTCTTTACCCAGGCTTAGGACGGGGTACGGGAAAGTTTAAGGTCCTTACCCTTCTTTAGATCTAGCCAGATATTGAAATGAAATGTTTCAAAATATGATGTGGTCATGGTCCTTCATATTAAGCTCCAAGTGTGTGCAAGTTTGATTATGGAACTTCAACTTGATGGGATCTGCATTTTTGTTAATTAATTTTGTTATTTGCAATTTGTGGATTCTTAAAAGTGTGTTATCACATCAACTTCGTAGGCTCCTACTTAATCTTTTGTTTCTTCACTGGAAGCCATAAGGAGAGCTGAAGCTGTGGGCAATAATGTATTGACCTTGGTTGTGATATATTGGATTAAAAATGGTGATTATCAATTGTCATTTTTTATATACTGTGTTGTATAGTTAGTTTATAAGCACGTGGAAAACCAATGTGTATTAACTGTTTCTATATTCTTAGTTTAGTTGAAATCTGTAAGAAAATGATTTTGGAGCATTCATAAATCATCTAGATGACTATTAAGTGTTATTTCGGATTTGTTATCTTTTTAACCCGGTGTTCAAAAAAGCGGACCGCCCACCACCTAGGTGGTCCAAAAGGCCTGGGCGCATCGCCCAAGCCTAGGTGGCCAAACTGGGCGGCAGTCTTTGGGCGGCCACCTAGGCGGTATGGAACCCGCTTAGGCGGGCACCCAACACCCAGCCCTGGGCAACCGCCCAGAGGCGGAAATAGCTTTCACGGGGGCATTTTTTGTCCATTTTTTTTATACTAAAGGGCCAAAATGGGGGTTTAGGTTTATTTAAAACGTAAAACTTCTTGGAGCCCATTTTAAAGGGAAAGCCCCCAAATACTAGTTTTTGGTGATTTTTTTATGATCGAAGGGTTTTTCAAAGTTATGATAGAGTAATCAAACCATCACTCATTGATATTAGATTAAATTTTTGATGTTTTACAAATTTATTGGGCCTTTTTTAGAAGATTTTGAGTTTTTAGAAGCATCTTTGAGGTGGAAGTTTGAAGATTGAGCAATCAAACTCAAAGTAAGTAATTTTTGTATTGCTTTAGTAAATTGCATTATTTTTTAGATGTCTTTTTCGGGATCTAATAGGAGTGGTGATCCCGGTTTGAAGTATGGCTACAACCCAGATCCTAATGATAAAAATTGCATAAGATGCAAGTTTTGTGATGGATACAAAAGGGGGCATAAACCGGTTCAAGAAACATCTTGCTGGTATCAGGGGGGATGTTGCCCCATGTAAAAAGACTTCTGATGCTATTAAAGAGGAAATAAAATTTTTTTTGAATATAGTAAAAATGAAAAAAGATGAGAGATTTGCATCTATAACAAATATTAGGTCTGGGTTCGGGTCAATTATGATGATGATGATAGTGATGAGGATAGGATTGGGGAGGGGTGTCAAGTGGTTGAACAATCCATTATTAAGAGAAAAGGGAAGCGAGTTGTAATTGCTTCTGGTTCTAGTTCTGGGACTAAAAAGCCTCAGGTTAGAGGCCCTATGGATAGTTTTTTACCTCGGCTTGTCCCTGAGATTGCAGGAGAGAAAACAAAGAAGCAAACCATCAATGAAAACATAATCAAGAAGGAAGAGAGAGATAGAGCTGTTTATTATCTTGCTACATGGTTTTACGAGGCGAGCATTCCTTTCAATATCGCTCGCTTAAGTAGCTCCTATGCCGTGGTAGAGGCAATTGGCCACTTTGGCCCTGGGATGAAAACCCCAACCCCATATGAGCTTTCATAGCCTTTTCTAGAAAAGGCAGTGAGTGTCACGAAGGAAGCTGTAGAAGTTAAGAAGGATGCATGGGCTCAATATGGGGTTTCTATTATGATTGATGCTTGGAGTGATAGGAAAAGAAGAAGTCAGATGAATTTGCTTGTGAATTGCCTTTTAGGGACTATTTTTTTAGGTCTATTGATACCTCTGATCATATCCATGATGCCCATTACATATTCCAAGTTATAGATAAGGGAATCAAGGAGGTTGGGGAGCATCATGTTGTACAGGTTGTCACAGACAATGCTGCTCCTAATGTTGTTGCAGCTAATTTGTTGCGCATAACTTTTATTAGAATCTTTTGGACATCATGTGCAGCACATTGTATAGACCTCATGCTTGAGGCTCATGGTAATTTAACTGAGATATCAGCTGCAGAGAAGAAGGCCAAGTTAGTTACAAATTTCATTTACAGCCACCATCTCACCCTCAGCATGATGCATACCTTTACAAAGAAGAAAGAGATTGGGAAGCCTGCGGTCACGAGATTTGTGACCTGGTACTTATGCCTAGAGAGCATACATTCGAGCATAGTGCAGTTGAGGTAGATGTTTACCTCGGATAACTGGAGAGCATGCAAGTAGTCTAAGGATCAAGTTGGGAAGAAGGTGAGAGAAATTATCCTTTCTAAGGCTTTTTGGCGAGGGGTGAAGGGCACTCTTAAGGTATTTTTCTTCTTATCAAAGTCCTTCGCATGGTTGATAGTGACAAGCCTTATATGGGTTACATATATGAGGCTATGGAAAAATGCAAAAGAGAGATAGCACAAAATTTTAATGATGATGAAACCCGCTGTAAGCCTGTTTGGGAGATTATTGATGAAAAGTGAGATATGCAGCTACATCGGCTATTGCATGCAGCTAGTTACTATTTGAACCCAGCTTTTTTTTTATGTTGACAAGAATATACACACAAATAACACAATTATAACTGGATTTAATAAGTGTGTAGATGTGTTAGTCCCGGATCCTGATATCTAGGATATTATATGCTTACAAGTGCTCATTAAAGTCTTTTGAGGGTCCAATGGCGATGAGGCAAAGGGACAAAATTAATCCAAGTATTAATAATATTCTTAAGTTCAGCAAGTTCAAGTAATCATGTAATTCTATTATTTATTTATGATTTTATTTTATATCTTTGCAGCCAATTGGTGGAGCCAACATGTGTGTAGTTCTCCAAATTTACAAAAGTTAGTCATTCAGATCTTAAACCTAACCACTTCTTCATCTGGTTGTGAGCGCAATTGGAGTACGTTTGAAGGGGTAAGGCCGTAAGAGTAATTTGTATAATTCTATAAATAATTCATGAACTATAGGTATTAGATTTTAATTAGTTTCATTTGATTTTGTTAGATTCATACAAAGACAAAGAACATGCTTGAATCAAAGAGGCTCGATGACCTAGTCTATGTCAAGTACAATCGATTCTTGAAGGACAGGTTTGCTAAGATAGATAAGAGAGTCCCCATCAGATCCAAAAATATGCTATGGAGTGGTTAGTTGATAATGATGAGGTCGATGGGCATGAAGGATTGACATGGGACATGGTCATTGATGCTTCAGGGACATCAGCTAACCCTCTTAGGGCTCCTAGGTCTTCTGCATAGAGAACAAGAGTGGAGGAAGAGGAGGAAGAAGAGGCAAATTCAGAATCAGAAAAGATGGAGGAGGATGAGGACGACCAATATGTCGAGGGGGGTGACAACTCCGATGAATATGATGCCAATGCAGTTGACCCTAAATTTTTTGACGATGAATAAATAATGAATGTTGAATAATTATTAAACTTTGAACTGTGATTGAAGTATTGAACTATTGAAGATTATTTTGAGTCTTCAAGTATTACTTTCATAATTCATTTTTGTTTTCGTCCTCATGGTGGTGTACTGCAGTACTGGTTTGCGACTATTTGGTAACTTGGTTTGGTAATTTGTTGGTTAGTAAATTTTAAGTTATAATTGGATATGGAGTATGGACCGACATATGAATTATGGTTATGCTTATGGAGTGTGTGTTAAATGCTAATATGTATTATAATTTGAATTATGATGTACCCTAAATACCTAATTTCATTGTATATAAAATATATATAACTGACATAACTGTAGAATCCTTTTTGGATTCAATTGGGCCACCCAAATTCTGGGCGTCCGCCTAGGCACTGAGCGGCTTGGACCCCCTAGACCGCCTAGGACCCGCCTAGTGCTTTTTAAAACACTATTTTAACCATTGGTTATATATTGCCCCGACCATTAGAATCACTATTGTGTGCATTGCTTAACTGTCTTAGTGCAAAATTTTGCGTCAGACTTTTCTTTTTCCAGGAATGGGTGGTTGACGTTAATTTGTGTTAGTGCTATACTGGGACTGCTTTTAGTCAAGATAATTTGAAGTGTTCATATCGATCCTGTAAAATGTTGCCTTATGAATAGTTTTGTAGTTCCATTTTTTGAATCACCTATGTAGTAACTGTTGATAAAAAGTGATTTATTTGTTCATGATCCTCAAAATTTAACCAAGAAATCTCAAAAGTTCATGATTATTCCAAAACTTTATTATTTCATGTGGTACTAATTCTGGATATTTTTCAGGGCGTGATATGCTTTGTAGTTTGGACCTCCATCAAGCATGATGTCTGGAAAATTTTAATAAGCATTTGAAATTTTAGTCTAGTTTGTAAATACTGTTACCATTCTCTGGAGCAGAAAACGCTTATTTTCTTAAACAGATATGACAGAAATTTACTGACGAATTTAGATAAATTTCCAATAGCTTCTGTGCGATCATTGCCAAGGTTAGTCACTGATAATTTTACCAAAAACTAGCAGGGTCCTTGATTTCCCCATTCTTTGGTAATGTATTTTTAATCTATTATTTTTTAGATATACCATGACACCTGACTTTCTATATGTCATTATTCCAGAAACATGTGAATTAGATTCTGATATCATGCATGTCTCTGTTTCTTGGAATGATTTTTGCTAATGTATTGTACGTCTATAAATCTGTTGTTTATATCTGAAATTGTAGCACTCCTTTCTTGTGATTGGCATGCTGTGGTTACAAAAATATTACCTGGTTCAAAATCTTGCTCGTTATCTTCTTGTTGGGTGTGGATGATGAGCATGTGGGCCTTCCAATAATTAATGTTATTATTAGGTGATTTCTACTTCTTTTGGGTTGTGGGCCTAAATTGATTTGGCTGGATACTCTTTTTAGATGGATTAGTAAGGCCTCTAAGGTTTGCCTACCAATGTTGGGAGACAAAAGAACTCCAATGCCTCAGTTGCTTATGAGTTCTGTCCATTGTTGAAAAACTGAGACTTGATGGCGGACTATGTCATTTTCAGAGACCAAGTCGACTAAACTTCAAGAGTGTGTCAAACTTTTTGTTTGAAAATTTGAGGAGTCAGTATTTGTAATGGGGTTTGAGACCAACCTAGTTTATGTTCATACCCCAAAATATTTGCAATGGGATTTGGGACCACCTAGTTATTATGTCATACCACAATTTTGCCATTAGGGAAACACCATTACTATATAAAAAAAAAAATAGAAAATTATTTATAGGCGGAAACTCGAATGCATCCCGAGTTTCTCATTTGTATTTTTGCCTGCTAAATGAGTCGAGTTGATTCAAGGCAATTTTTTCTGACATGGAATGATTTTCACTAATTTTTACAATATACAAAACAACAAAGTGTTCCCAAATAACTTCATCATGCATAGATAAGTACTTGATTTTTAACTCCAAACCTTAGAATATAAAGAAAATAGAGAAGATAAAAATTCACCAAAACTCTTAACAAATGAACATTGTGGCTAGAAATGGGTCTCTGTGGTTGTTGACCTTGTTAGATAGAAAAATTGAGTAGTTATGAATTTATAACAGTAAATGTCTCACGTCATGAATGTGTATTGGTTGCTGATTTTCTGAGATTGAACAGTTATCATGACCTTCTCTTATCGAGAATGAAAGATCACATCCCAAAGCCCGAAGTAGTTTCGAAGATATTGTCCCTCGTGAGTGGCATTTTTGTGGTGAATAGCTGATTGAATCAGCTTGTCTATGTCTCGCCAATTGCTTAAATTAGGGCAACCATGTGTTATTTATTGGATATCCAATGGATGAACAACATGAGCATATGAGACCATTTACTTTTAGTATAAAAATAACATGAGCATTTGAGACCATTTACTTTTGGTACAAAAAGGTAAAAACACAACTGGTCAAATGTGAAACAAATAAGGCCGGGTCTGTTGTGCTTAAAAGTTCAAGAGTATATAAATTGGGGACATTGACTGCTTACTAAAAAACAAACACCGAAGTGATCAGATATGGAGTTTTTACCAAAGTGATCAGATTTGAAATTGGACAACTAGGATCTATTGATTGCTCAAAATTCTGAGAGAAGATTTTCTTGAATTTGTGCAGAAGGATGAATAATTGACTTCACAGCCTATTGGCTAGTATGTTTTTAACCTTTTTGTACTCTTAAGACAAATTGTATAGGGTCCCTAAATTATCATGTAACTGTTATAATAGAACTTAGCAAAATAATTAAATGAATCAGGCTCATTTGAGGACTAGCTAAGCTATGTCATCTTGAGTATTTGAGTTGTTATGGAATTTAATCAACCTTAAACAATCAAAGTAAGATGCACCTCAAAAAATTTTTAGGCCAAGAACCCTTTGGATTACTCGAAAATCTATTGCGAATTGTAGTTATAAAATTTACAAGCACAAAACTTTGTGTAGATTGAGCAGATCTATAAACACTTGAAAATCTTTTACAAAGTATTGCAATTTTGACTGTTTTAGAATTTACAATATTTTTGCTTTTCATTTCACACAGTTTCGAGATCGAGATATTCAATTGTAAATTTTTTAGCGATGGAACAACATTTTTCTGATGGTTTTTTTATGCGAGTTTTACTTATTTAAGTACAAAATTGATGCCCTGTATAATCTTTTCTTTTGACATATTTCTCTATGCATGTGACAAGGTCCAAAGTTAATTAAATAAAGTAAGTGCATTTACCGGCTCATGTAACTGCCAAAGAAACTGGCCCCAGAGAATTCCCCTAAATGATATTTTCTATGGAAGTACAGTGGTGTCTTGTACTGTTCCCTTTCGTACTAGTGGGTGTCCTTTAGTAGCTATTTGTTCTGTTTTAGTATAACTCACAAAAAGTGTACTATCGATTATTGTTAAGTTCAAAACAAAGGGTATTATCACTGATTGCAAAATTTATTTGTAAGGATAGAAGGATAGTAAATTTGAGCATGTAGTTCTAAATTTAGAAGAAAAAGAAAAGCATGTCATTTAGCTCAAATTTCATGGAAATTTTGGTAAATCACTGTATTTTTTGGGGCGAAACCAAATCTAAATCCTAAATTAGTAACAATATCTGTAATTGGGATATTATGGGCAGGTTGTTTTATTGGGATATCATTGTATTTGTCTTTTTCTTTCGGGAATTTATCATATAATCATTGTAACTTTAATAAATGAAATCAGTGCATGTCTATTTTATAGTAAATTTTTATATATGAACTTAAATTATCTATATCTAAAGCATAAATATTGAAAAATTTGAAAAAGTTTCTATAATTCCTCTACAGCATACAATTTTTTATCCTTTCCTTGTCATCCAGCCGTCCAATTTTGATAAAGAGAGCCACTCATCGTTTGATTTTAGATTCGACATCTTGAAGTATTTTATTTTTAGTTTTTTTGTACAAATTCAATGAATATGAAATTTGGTACGTGTAATCTTCTCATTGAGGTGCACCTATGAAAAATATTAAAAATAATTTTTCGATAAAATATAATGATCAAAATACCTCTTGGAACTTTTAGGGGTATTTTGGTTATTTTATTTTATTTGAAAAATATTTTTTATATTTTTGTTAGTGCTAGTTTAATATAAGAATGGACGTCCAAAATTTGGCGTCAAATTAGTTTATAAAAAAAATTAAAAATAAAATAGTATAAAGCTGTGACATTGTGATTGGAGCAATCTTAGCCCTCCATTCATAATAAAGGGTTGGATGAGGGGAAATATATAAATTTTATGCGAGAGGGAAAACATAGAAAGCTTGCCCTGAAAAATTATATTTAATAAATGATAAAGTGAGCATCATTTGATAATGTATAACAATATACGAAAACTCGATGTCCATCTCAACAACTTTAATTTTATACACCTAGTGTCGATCCTTGCAAATTGTTTCCCGTTTACTTCTGAAATTTTAGAGCTATTTTTAGATAAAGGGATTTTTTTTTTCAAATTCAAGTTCTTAATTTTTCTCTAAGAAAACATGTTATTATACTAGAAAAGTTTTTTTTGTGGTGATAATAACATGAAGTCTTACATACATCAGGATAAAGTAATTTATCGAGATATTGTCAGCTGCGATACTAAAACTAAATAACATGAAGATTGTATACTATAATATCATTTTTTTCTGGTTCGCGGTAGTCACAAGCGATTAGAAGTGAAATGAGATTAAGAAATTTTCTTTTGAAAATTGAACCTAACAAACGGACATCTTAATAATCCAATTTACCATCCATGACCAATAGATGACCTTTTAAGGTCCTCACTCATCTACTGGGCCTTGGGTGAGGCCATAGCCACACTAACCATTTTACTCCAATTTTGGTTAATCCAATATATATATAATATATAACCGTACGGAAAAGTGTTTAGACAGTCGGCTAACTCATGCATCTACCATCGTTTTTGAACGATTTAAGACTTAAAATACATCCTCAATCACTGTCCATTTTTGCCTCAGACCTGTGACTTTGGGTATCCAAAAATATTGTACATCTAATGATAATTGAAAATTAATATGAGCAGTTCAAAGGGACAAGGAAAAAGCCCTATAAAACATGGATGGAAGTAGAGTAAAAAATAGAAATATTATAATCTGTCCGAAAATGGAAGTAGTGTGCAAAAATAGAATGAGTATTGACGTAAACTGGTTTTTTACAAGGTTAATACAATTTAGTCAATTTTACTCAACAAAACACTAGCTCAAGTGATTAGCAAACCTATTCACTTTCCAATGGAGAGAAGCAAGACTTAAATGAGCTCTTGAGGGCATCCAAATCCAAGTTTCTACCTGCACACCAAAGACAGTAGCAGTCAAGTAAAGCTAGGCAAAATTTCTCAAGAGACTTTTTTAATATTTTGGATTGTCTTGGAAAACTCTCAGGGCAAACTAAAAGGAAGAGGAAGAATAACAACCTCAAAAACTAGAAAATGAAAAGTTAATGAATATTAAAAGCTAAAAATATAAAAGTAAAAAATAAAGAACGAGAAAGCCATTTTCTGTTAACCAAGTATTGAATGAAAATGTTTTGCTTTTTATAATTTAAGATTATACAATACTTGTGCTCTTCTGTTTTATCTGACTTGCATTATTTATGACAGTTACCATGTACACTAGTCCAGCAAATTTAGAATGACACTAGAGCAAGATTTATTTTTGGAAAATTGTACAGCGAAAAATTGGTAAAAAAAAATTTCTCACAGAATTAAAAAAAATCCAATAAAACCTTACAAGATCAATTTAAACAAAACAAATAGGAACAAAAAGAAAGAGAAAAGTTAGTCACCCAGATAGTGGAACTGCACAAAGATACAATTGGAAACAAAGAACATCACTTAAATGGTCAAATAGTCTTACAAAATGTCAAATCACCTTTTACAAAATCATTATGGTGGCTAAATTGCCCCATTTAACATAAGTACCTTTAAGTTTATTGCACTCAAGTACTTCCTCAAAAATAAGCTAAAAAACGACCAAATTATCCCTAAAATGACCAAATTGTCCCTGTTAAGGATTATGAATGACGAGACTATATCATGTTTTTCATATTAGAATCTCTTGTTCAAGGTTTCTGAAATGGAACAAGTAGGGTATTTCCATAACTATGGTCAGAATAAGTGGCCTGAAAAAAAAATTGAAATTCTTACATGATTATGCTTGAAACAAGTGGCCCGAGAAAAATGGCAGTTCCATCCCTGCTCGTTTAGGACCACTAACACATAACTTGATTTCATTGAAAGCCCTTGTGCCACGTTCCTAAGTTGGAACAAAAAGGTGTACTACAATCATTATTGCTCTCTAATTACAAGCGCCGAGCAAAATGATTTGTTTACCCCTTTTTGTTTGAGGTTAACAACATGTAAACCACTTTTTTCATCAGAAACCCTTGTTGTCGAATTAAGTAGTCCGAGCAAAATAATAGTTGTATCTTACACTTTAAGGTTAGCAACAAGAAACTCATTTTTTCCATTGTAACCCCTTGTTCCATTTTACTGACCTTGAACAATCAAGGGTATTCATGTTAGTTAGCTTGGACCATTTAGGTGAGACCTACCAAAATACCCCTACTTGTTTAGGATTCACAATCTTGAACAAAGGCAACTTGGTTATGTTTAATACATTTTTTGAGAAGGTACTTGAGAGTAAAAAAACTTAGAAAGCAATCATTATAATGTTAAATGAGATGATTTGAACATCTTAATAATTTTGTAAAGTAGTTTGACTATTCAAGTGATACCAGCTCATTGGGGGAAAAAAAAATTCTAAAATCTAATATGATCCATACTGTCATAATGATAACCATGTCATAATGATAACCATGACCAATGTTGGATGGAGGGGAAGTAGGCCTATCTAGTTAATTAATCAAAATTGCATTGCAAGGTCTATTTCCTCCAACACAACCAACTTAGGTCATGAGTTTCCGTTGAACACATGAATCATACTATATGGGTCCCATCGATTTAATAATTAATTTACTTTCTCTAGTTCCAGGGAAAAAAATGTGATGAAGAATGAAGTAAATCTTTGAACTTTCCTATGAAGACCATCTTGTTTATCTTCTTCTCCCCATCTCCCCATTTCCGAGTAGGGACAACCTCATATAGTTCCCTCACAGCCTGTAAAAAAAAAAAGAAAAAGCCAAAACCAGAATATCATAAATTTTTATTATTCTTAAGACATTAGTACTGTGGTAGTATAACATGGATAACAATGAGTTTCAATGTCTACGAGTGTCTAAGGCGTCTAGTATTTGTCTAAGAAGCCGGTACAGCTAGATACACCCGTACAGTTATTAATTATAAATAAATGTTATATTCTCCTAGTACATATAATATAATTTCCTTTAAGAAATGGATCAGGAGTAGTGAAGTAGAAGATAATATGCCAAAATGGCTTAAATTGCAACCTCGCAATGAGGCCCTCTACAATTTTTAATTGTTTTTTATGAAGCCAATTACGATGCCGACCAAAAGGTGCAGTGTTGCGAAACACTCGTAGCACTATCTAAATACAATGGCATTGCAGTTGTTTATCCCATTGATAGGGTATCAAGATAGATAAAATTTACCTGTACCGTGTGAAGCTGATCTGAGCTATGAACATGCAAAATTCCCTTGCAACGATAAATGTCCATACCATGTTTACTTTCCCAAAGAAGATCTTCAAGCCACAAGTGTACCTTGAAAAAGGTAAAATCTAGTTTATTGGATACATGATAAAATCATTCTTTATGAAAAAAATGTCGCAAGAGGTTATGCATAGGATATATTCAGAAAACATATTGTTTTTTTTTTTTCTGAAGAAGTTAAAAACAGTTAGGACTTCAAGTCAGTCCTCTCTATTGGGTGGCCTGAATTAAGATAAGGCAATCATACTACTTGAGATGCATTGGGAAAACATGCAGAGGAAACACCTTGATCTCAATCTGACATTTAGTCCAAAAGAGAACGAAATTTAAATTCCACCATTGTTATTTATGATACAGATGAGAGAGCCTTCTATCACCATATCTGTAGAGTGCTAACCTTCTATAACTTTCTATAACTGAGCATACCTGACTGAGAATGACTGATCCCCGCTCGCTTATGCATATGGTTCGCACATTATAATCATGGTATTTTTTGGCTGTTTCAGAATGGCTTTCCTTCAACAATGACTCTAAATGAGCTACATGCTGATAAGAAACGAAGTTCCCACGTGATTAGACAAATGTAGTATGGAGTATGAACACCAAATTAACAGGTACTCTGTCTTTTGTTTTCAATAAACCTCAAGCTATTCTATATTCCTTATGAGTCCATTTAGGCATTATATCTATTTGCATATAAATTATATAAAGGCCCTAAAAATCTGGGTTCTGAATGACAAACATTTGGACAAATTTCAGCAGATAACAGAGATTAACAACAAAATATCAGCTTAGTCATGAATAGAATGAAACAAGATCTGAAAGCTCATAATTGCAACCAGACCAGATTACTAAGCAATATGTTTTCAATTAATAACAATGAGAAAAAGTAATAGGTCAAAAGATTCTTAGCTCACCATTGTGTCATAAGCCATGCAGTTCAAAATACAATTCAGATCTACTTGGCAGCGTACAGAATGAATTATTTGAGCAAGCGAATTTATACTACGAATCTCCTCCTCCAGGATCTCTACAGAATCTGGCATTGTTGGTCCAGCTTTATCCAGAGATAACAAGTCAATCTTGTTAAGGATTACAACATCCTGTTAGAACAGATGAACCCAATAAGTAGGTACTTAGTATTTAACATAGAATAGAGTGACTAGATATATGCCACAGGGCATATAGCTATACTGCCACAGTTATACCATAATTCTTAGACCCAAAAGCCAATGAAAGGTAGATGAAAACTTGATATCAAGGCATCATTCGTTTTGAAATATATCCAACTTCAAGGATTTCGTTTTTCTTTCCATCTTTTTTTTTTCAAATCTTTTAATAGATAACACAACTTCAAGGATCAGATCTGTCACAAATATAACAAGTTCATACTAATATACCGCAAATGCAATTTGAAGAAAAGCTTCAGGAAATGAGCCCGATTCACGATGCTCACCAAGTTGGAGTCGAAGGTTTTTCGCATCCGCCACCTATTGGAAGATGACATCACAAATATCAAGAATGAAAGACTAAATGATAGGGGGGGACGGGGGGGGGGAAGAGACTAACATGTAATGAAGCAGAGACTATCACAACATGATAGAGCCATTAATCTTCATATCAACATAGACAGAGTTCAAGCATTAAAGTTTGCATCTCTCTTAATTATTAAAAAAGGAAAAATGTGTCTCTTTTAGCAAAGCTACCAGAGTCGGTATTATAAGTAAATCCAGAGAAGGTCTTGTCTTCCATAAGAATTGTCTTCCATAAAGAATAATTTCAGTTGCATAAGCAAAAGAATTCAAGTTAGACAAAAGGATTTAAGTTATGAATTCTTATAATAGAAGCACCCCCAACAAATAGTTGGCCATGTAGTTAAGTATGAAATACCAAAATTCAGTAGCAGCATTGAACTAAAATGCTACGTGCATGGTTATTCCACAAAAGTATGTTTTATACATAAAACAAAGACAAAAAAACCCAGTATTTTACATCATATAGTTGTATCTCTTCCCATTTCATTTACAATATGAGACTAGTTGGAAGCACCCCACACTCCACATGGAAACAATCCCTAGAAAGGTGACTGTAAGTAATATCCACACAAGTCTAAGATGAACTCATAACATAGACAACATTGGGTACGTACGCAGCTGCTAATTGCTTGTGAGTTTATTCCTTTATTGTACCTTATTTCATATTGTTGCCCATTAGGCTATAGATTCTTGATTTCTATACTTAGAATCCACCGAAGCACTAAAAGTCTAGAACTCTGATCAGCTTAAGAAAGACCACTTTCACAGATTGTTGCATGATATACTGCTTTCATTACAGAATATTTTGCTACATCAAAGCCACAGAATCAATCATTGAAAGATGGCTTCACAAAATGGAGTTTTGAGTGAAATTATTAAATCGAAAAACTAGATGGCTCTGGGTTTTCATGGAAAATACAATTATTTTTTCTACTATGATCCTATCAAACATAAGAATGATGAACCCAATTAACCCAATGATGAATGATTTTACATGCAGGGGAACTATTTTAAATTGTCGTTTGGACAGATTAGCTTAATGCTAAAGAGCTTTAGGAGGGCATTGAGAAAAGGCTTGTGAAGATAATGTAGTAGCTAGGAATGAGCTCTATGAAAGATTCATCACAGCAAATGAGAGAGAGCCAATCTGAATTATAACCCTTTGATGAAATGAACATCATGGATGCTAGTAGATCTTGGATTCAATTTCTGTCAGACAACACATCATAAAAATAATGGAAATCTTAACCTCTTCCCGGAAGGATATAGAGGATACCCTTGAACACAATGGGACCATTTCAAGTTTAGAGTCTTTAGACAACCAAAGATCTCATCTTAGAATGGAAGAAAATGATTGAATTAAGGAGAATCTAGATTATTCTCAAAACCAAGCATACTATGTAAACCATAAAAAGGAAATTTCAAGATGGGAAAGAAACCAAGAAGACAGCATGAAAATAGTAAAGGCCATAAAGACAAAACTCCTATGAAATAAAGAAAATGTTGTAATTACAAGTATGGTCATAATTGCCAAATATTATAGGGCACCAAAGAAGAGTGAGGTTGGCTAACCAAATAGAATGAACCTCAATCATGGGTCAAGCCAAGCACGAGACCTTGCGTTTGACTGGATGGTGGGTATATTCAACTTCTGATGGATGGTGGGTATATTCAAAAGTGCTACATCACTAACTCTGAAGATAACAGATTTAATTTTCGAGAGAAAAGGATGTGATGGTGACAACGGCTATATGGCAAACTCCTGTTATGCCAATATTTTGAGAGAAGCAACTGTGTAATTTCCTCTTCCTAACGGAGGAACCCTAACTCTAGATGATATGTTGTATGTCATGGAATTTGATTTCGCTTTCTAGGGTAGGTGGGATGGGAATTGAAACAATTGTCAAGGGTGGGGTAATGCCCCTTGAGAAAAATGGCGTTGAAATCTCCAAGGCTGCTCTAGTACATAGTTCTTGGTAATAAAATAAAGAAATCTTCCCAATATATGGCATGTTTTACTGTTTGGCAATGAAGATTAGGGCATACAGGATAAGAAAAACTAAATAGGATACCTAATTACCTATGAGAATTTCGATAAAGTTAAATGTGAAGATTGTCTCAAAGGAAAAATGTACAAAAACTGATTCCCCAAAGGAAAGAGAGCTAAAAATGTATCAGAAATTGTACATAATTATCATTGTCGCAATCTTAGCTATAAATCCTTTACAGGCCACAAATACCTTATAACTTTCATAGATGATTTTTCTAAATAAACTACACCTATCACTTTCAAGGAAAAAAATAAAATAAAATAAAATAAACCTACACCTATCTTGTTACACAAGTCAAAAGCTTCAGATATACATAAAAAGTACAAATTAGAAGTAGAAAAAAAAAAGCAGGTAAAAGGATTGGAATTATTAGGAATGATAGAGGGGGAGTACATATTCCCATGATTTTGATGTGTTTTAAAGAGCATGATATTATCAGATACAACATTTTACCATATACTCCTCAACAGAATGGAGTAGCAAAAAGAAAGAACACAACTCCAACTGAAATGGTCAATTGCATGATAAAAGAAGCAAACGTTCCTCATCATATCCAAGGGGAGGCATCAATGACTACTACCCATATCCTTAATATTATATCTACTAAAACCAAGAAAACACCTTTTGTGCTACGGTTTGGTAAGAATCCAAGTTTTGATCACATAAGAATTTCGGGAACAAGTGCACATGCATTAATCCCATATAATAGAAAGGCACCCAAACATGAAACAAATAGGCTTAGATAGAAAGGTTTCAATTTTTGAGAATGCCCCGTCGACAGGTGTGATGTATGATATATCTCTTGGCACATCAAATCAGACAAGGAAAATGAGAACTGCCGTAAGTATGAACTTCTACAAACCAATGACCAAGCCCATGCCATGGAAAAAGCTGTGCTGATTGAAAAGATCACTATGCCAATGGTGAATGAAGAAGTTTGAAATTTTGAATTGATTTTAAAGAGTAATATGGAGGCAGGTGTTTAATATTATTAATTTTCTTTAATGTGTCTTAATACTGTATCATTTACTGTATATGTAGACCGCATTCCGTAAGCCCCACACCACATGATTTGCAAACCACTAAAGTTGATCCAAGTTAAAATTGTTCCGCACATATAAAGTGGCATGAGACAATACAATTTGGAATAGCTAGTGATGCTATTCTGAATTGATATTAAGGTACAAGCAAATACAATTCTACTCTCAACAACAAATTTATCGGGTTTTCTAAGTTGTGAGACTCTGTGCTACAACCAAAAAGTAAGTTGCCTCTAAGGAGAAGTTGTAGACAGGTGAAATGCATAATCAAAGCAAATGAAGAAACTACGCAACTATCGGGCAGTAGAACTTGAAGAATAGACTCACAAAACATGTTCAATAGCCAATGAAACCAGAACTGAATAGTATTTCACAAGTGAACTTGATCCAAATGGGGACCAAACTAGACATGCTCAAAAAGTTTTCCATGAGAATCCACTGAACTTCCTAAAGAAATACCAGGTCAAGCATGGAATCTACAGAGGGATAAAGAATTTATACCACCAATAGGATCCCTTCAACCAGAAATTTATGGACATGAAAAAAGCTAGTTTCTCACAAATATAATATAATCCAGAATAAAAGAGTAAGGTGCTATATGAGAATAAGAAATGTGATGAGTCATACCTTTATGGCTCTAGGAGGCAAAGAAATCAATTCTACTTTATATCTACAATGCAAATAAATGCCTTTCAACACAGGTAATGTGATGTCCTAAGTGGTAATGCCTCGTGGATCAGTGATAAAGAATAAACGATTCAAATTTGTTTTTTCACATGTCCAAGTTTGCTTATCAGAATGATCACTATTGATGAATGTCAATAATTTAGAACATCAAGAACCATATGTGCCATAATAGCTAAAACTATACATGTGAATCATCATAAACGAAAGGTCAACATAAACAAAGTAAACTTAGGATAAGAAGCCTAACAAGATTTCACATTTTCCCATCTTATTACACAATAAATAATAAAAGATCAATACTTTTCAAGAAACATTGAAAAAAAAATTGGATTTATTAGATGTATAGTATAATAGGAAAACTCACTGTAATGATGGAATCAAGCCTGACTGAAGATTCAAGCTGATCATCCAACCAAAGAACAGATGCAAGGGGAGCAGGATTGGCTAGCCCAGTTGTCTCCAACAATATGTGATCAAGCCTGGGACAAATAAGCACCAATAAATGAGACACATGAGTATTTCTTCCATCACATATTATAAGCAACATAGACTACTAAAACAAAAATACCTCCATTTATACAAGAAACTTTGTAGAAAGAGAGAAGTCACATTTCACCCAATTAGGGACTAAATTAAAAAACTTTCTGGTACGATGCTCTTAAGAGAACTAGGTTTTCCTCCCATATACAAGTTACATGCGACTGCTTGTAACATTTGGGAATGTAAAATGTACAGTACTCTATAAAGAAAATGTAAATTACATGGCATTTCTTCTTACCTTTTCATTTCTTTTAATGAAATTCCAAGGAAATTATTATAACTATTACAAATCAAAGGCTGGACTATGTTACACACCGGTCCTTCCTTTGTATGAGTTGCTCTAGAGCTTGGACAAGACTGTGTTTCACTGTGCAACAAACACACCCATTTGCTAGTTCCACCCATTCTTCAACAAGGTCACCTCCTTCTCCATCATTTATCATTGCTCTTTCAACCCCAATTTCTTCACCAAACTCATTCAATATCACAGCAATCTTCTTCCCATGTTGGGCATTCAATATGTAATTCACCAGCTGAAAATTACAATTTTACCAATCAATTCAACTGTTCAACAATATGTACATCCCTAGATGATAAGTACAGTTTACCAATCAATTAAACAATATATATAATTCATTAGCTCAAAATTCTTATTTTTGGATAACCAAAACAGTAGCTAGCTGAATATTCAAAATTTTTTCATTAGCTCAATCTTATTTTTTCTTTTTAATGCTGGGAATTTATGTGACTCATTAACTGAATCAGTTGACTGATCAATTAAACAATAAGTAATTCACTAGAAGAAAGTTATGCTGTACCTATGAATTAAAAATATATATATAATTCATTAGCTCAAAATTTCTGCTTTATTTTTTATAAATAAAAAATTATTAGCTGAGAATTCAAAATTTCTTCATTATCAATTGAGAATATCGAGGAAGAAGTATAGTTCCTTCTCATTTGTCTTGTATTTAGAAATACAGTAATAACTTATATGATCGAAATTCAAGGACACAAATGGAGAACAAAAAGAAAAAAATGAAAAAAAACCGAAATGAATTGTGTGAGAGAGAGAGAGAGAGAGAGAGAGAGAGGACGGGC